GACAAACACTGACCTGCATTCTCTCCCCGTCCCCCCTCCCCCAGCTCCAAAGTGACCTTCCATGGAGAGACGGGTGTGTGTGTGTGTGTGTGTGTGTGTGTGTGTGTAGATGCTGGTGGTGAGGGAGGCTCAGAAACAGGGGCTAAAGAGAGGATGAATGGATGCTGAGCAGGCAGGAAAGCACGGTGGAGGCTTGTTGTTTCAGAGTACCAGCCTTTCAGGTTAGCACTGCAGAGGCGCACAAAGCCTCTACTGTAAGATAGTGTTCTTCGGCTGTACGTGTGATGCTCTTACAGGCCATCTGATTGATCCAGCAGGTAACAGCCTCCAGCTCCGATAAGGAAAGAAAGAAACTCAGAGTAAAATAGAAAACATCAGCGTGCATCATCGGCCGAGTGAAAGATGATCAATGAAACCTGGTTCACTGGCTGGGGAGATGGCTCAGTGGTAAAGCACTTGCTGTGCAAGCTCAAGAACCTGGGTTCGGATCCCCAGTGCCCACCTAAAAGCCATGCATGGTGGCAGGCATCTAACTCCAGTGTTGGAGCGGTAGAGACCAGATCCCTAGAGTTTGTTAGGCCTGTGAACTCAGACGGACTAGCCATCAGCAAGCTCTAGGTTCAATGAGAGACCCAGGCTCAAAAGCAAGATGGAAAATGATGCTTGGGAAACACATTCAACCATTGACTTCTGACACACACACACACACACACACACAAATGCACACCCAATGCATGTGTGTACATAATCACATGAACATGTATCACACACACTAAACACATGCATACACACACACAAATGTACACCCAATGCATATATGTACATAATCACACACACACATGTGCACACACAGTCACATATAAATGCATACCCAATGCATATGTGTACATAATCACATGAACGTGTATCGCATGCATGCACACACACACACACACACACACACCTGTAAATAGAGGGGAAAGTCCTTTCAATTTTCCATATGTGGAGGTCCCTATACCAGTGATGAAGAAAAAAGGCCTTTGGGTTGGCCCAGCTCTGGGAATTTCTTGCCACAATCCTCTCTGTTTTGATTTTAGGAACTCAGATTCAATGAGGCGTGGTTACCTGACTTGTGAAATTCAGGTCTGGGACTAGGACCTGCTTTCTAGGCCAGACCTCATTCCTTCAGCTGCCTTTGCCTTTCGGGGTCAGGATGGGGTGAGGTATGGTAGATATGGGGCTCCAGAGACAAAGCTATCAATCTGCTCTGGGCACTACATAAATCATTCAACCCCCGAGACTCGGTGTACTCATCTATCAGATGGGCCTGTGCTCTCCCATTAGGGCTGCTGTAAAGACATTGAAACACATACAAGCTTGGCATCTCTGTCCTGTGCCTGAGGGACAGTCATATCATACATGGCTGGACTTGCTGTTCCATTGCAAAGAGGTATAGGAAGCACTAGTACCTAACTCTCTTGAAGAGGAAATATAACCTTTTCCTCGATTCCCTAGAGGCTATAGGCATGAGGTCCAGGGGCTCCCATAGTGTCCCACAAAGTAGAACAGCCTGGACTGGAGTCCAGAGATTCGGACGGCCCACCAAGTGGGGCTTAAGTCCATACTCTCTCCCATATTTGCTATGGTATGGGTCTAGGGGGAGCCAGGCTGCCCTCTTCTGGGTCACTGGAACTCCCCAGAGCCAACCAGTTTCACCCTTTGTTTAGATGAGGGAGGGACAGGTAGGAGGTAGGGTGGCAAGCACCCAGGCCCCGCATCCCATTTCTCCAGAGCCCATTCACCCTCACCCTTTAGTCTACCCAGTGTCTTGAAGCTCTGAGCTGGAATAACCAGCACCTCCCTTTTCAGAATAGATAATACAAAACAACAGGGTGTAAATGTTTGCTTTCTTCATTCACTCTACAAATATTTGATGCTTACTGTGTCCTGCCCATTACAGAACCATCACAAGGATACTGAGTCGTGATTTACCTGAGGTAGAAGCACAATGAACCTCTGGGTGCCGGCTTCTGGTTTCATCAGCTATCCAACAAGTGTTTGTTGAGTTTGCCTAGCAGGTGCAAGGAGGGGGAAGGGAGAGAGGGTATTTCTAGGCCTGCATGCTGGGCCCCTCTTAGAACTGGGAGATGGATTATGTGTTCACTGTAGGAGAGCTGGGGCTCCAGGGAGAGGGCATTGGGGAGGATGGGCATCGCCAGCCATGCTTCTGATTTCTGCAGGTGCTGAGGGATTAGCCACGGGGCAGGTGGGCCCCTAAAGGCCCTCTGTTTAGCTCTGCCATTCTCTCATGAAGAAAGAACAAAACTAAGGCTTGAAAAGGCAGAAAGAAGCCAGCCACCTGGATGAGGCAAACCTGAGGGTCTCAGTCCCCCTGCATGAGCCATCACGGAAACCAACCCAGAGCTGCAGCTTCTTAGCCTTGATTCAGCCAAGCCCACAGGGGCTGTTTGGGGTTCTCTGGATGTCCAAGCATCAGAGATCTTGGGGAAGTTCTAGAATGTTCTTCCTCTTTAGACTAGCTGCCACTGCTTGCAATTTGCTTTATGTTGGGCGCAGGACTAGAAACCTTTGGCCACATTACCAGCCTCCAAGGACTGAAATGCAACAGGCTGCCTCTGACACTGGGGCCTCTCTGGGGCTTCCATTTTGGCTCCCATGGAAGGAGATGAAACTTGGAAGGGAGAGATGTTGAGGGAGGAAACCAAAGCCTGAGATGGCACACATGCGTGTCTATGCACTATACATGTGTGCTTCTTCTTGACAGTGCCCGCAACACTACAGAGTTGTAGGGGCCAGCTGAGGCAGAGATGACACAGACGCCTTTCCTCTCCTCATACCTGTGCTGCCTTCCTCCCCTTTAAACACGTTAATGGAGGACTATTTTGATCTGAGATTAATTAATAAGAGGGGTCAAAATGTCAAGGGAAATTTGAGACTAATGAAAAGAGAATGGTGTGTCTGTTACTGTGTGACCCATCAGAAAAGTGTCACTGGACCAGCAGGAGGCCTGGGCTTGGAGTTCTCTGAGGTCAACTGTCCTTGTTCTTGCCTCTGTCTGTCTTGGTAAAGAGTTCCTTGTTTGCTGTGGGAGGGCCTTGGGGGAACACCATCACTCGCCTCTCTCTTCCACCCCTGGAAGGTCCAGGTGCTAAAAAAAAAAATAAGATCACTCATCACAAACCATCCTGTCAGCCCTCCTCCTGAAACAAGGATGTTCCTGAGGCAGCCCCGATGCATTGGGCGGGTGGTTTCAGAGTACCATACAGCACAGTGGCCACCCCAGTGCCCATCGGTCCTCCTCTGTTACCTGATAAGCATCTGCTATGCCCAACAGTCCTCCGCTGAAGGGCAAGAGGGTCACTGACACAGGGGAGACTCTTGCTCCTGAAAGCTCATGTTCCAAGGGACAGTGTCACGCCAATGAAGTGGCTCTCTGAAGGTTATGGGTGGAAGAGGACTTTGGAAACGGCTGAGCTGATTAAAGCTTGAGAATGTACTGCAGCCTGGCAGGGCCTCACAGAGTCTAGGCCCTAGAGAGCCAATGTTTCTGTTGGAGACTGCAAGAGGCAAGCAGAGAGGCACGGAGAACTGAAGAGAAAGGATGAGGCGTCACCACAATGTGGCCTGGAAGCCCGGTGGAGCTGGGCAGGGACTGAACGGCCCACAACAGACCTTCTCTGCCAGCCACTGGCCAGCCTGGCTTTTAGAGAAAGGTGGTGGGGAACAGGCCTGGAATCCAGGACAGGCGGCTGCAGCCAGGCTTAGCACTGGACAATCTAAGCAGGGTGGGTGCGGGAAAGCAGGGCAGGGGAGGAAAAGACCTTCTCCCGTTTGGATTCGGAGCCTGTTGTAGTTCTTCAGTCTTAAGAACAGATTGCCAAGATCCTGTCAGTACCTGCCCAGCCCCGTGCCAGTTCCAACCCTGTGCCTGTCCCAGCCCCGAGGACTCTTCTGTTTGCATTGTTTCATGTAACCCACACCCAAGCAGGAGAATAAAGATAGCCAGCCCTGCCCACCACTGCCTGCCCTCCCCACCCGGGTGACTCAGGCTGGGCGCCTGGTGGCAGCCGCTCTGCTCTCTGGGCTGCTCAGTAGCCTGCATCTGCTCTCGATTTGCTGTCCATGTCTCTGTGACCTCAATGAGGGTGATTTCCCCTTCCCCGGATTTAAAAGAAATGGTACCTTTCTCGCCCTGTGGTATACGGATTATTATAGTGTCTGCCTGCTTCGGGGGTGCGAGAAAGAAAGTGGACTTGGATGAGGCCAGTTTAATTGCGATGTTCAGCTGCCCGAGGTCCCCTGTCCACTCTGGCCAGTCCTGAGCCAAACCAGTTTTCCGTGGCCAAGCTGGGCCTGGTTTCCACACCGGTTCCTGTCAGGAAGTTCCTCCGCCCAGTGTGTGCTGTTAAATAGGATCCTTTTCATTCCTTTTCCTCTATAAACCTTCCTTTCAGGTCATTCTGAAGGGAGAGTGGGGATGTGGCAGGGGGTAGGGGGGTGGCAGTAGGCTCCGGTCCCAAGAGGGAAGTGGCTGGCAGGAGCCTGGCCTGGGTCAAATACCCAGGGCCCTAGTCCAAGGACAATGCCTAGAGCCACTTCCTCCTCTGCAGAGTGTGCCAGCTGACCCCCCCAAAGCATCTAGTACCACCTCCTCTCTCTTCCCCACAAGGAGGGGTTTTAGGGTAATGGTAAGAACGGCCCATCCTAAAAATACCTCTACCACACACTTCCCACAGAGAATAAATTCTCTCTTCCCCTCTTCAGTCTTGTTGTCCTGTCCCAGGCCCCCACACTGATGGGCTCAGCTCTTTCGAGCTGTGCCCTTGGCTCAGACCCACAAGGATGGGGCAGGCTTCCTCCTCCTCTTCCCTCTGCTGCCTCTGATCCTGGACCAGCAACCTGACCCCACCCACCCCGACTAGCTACACTGTATATTCATTGTGGCTTGGATTGCTCACTGCTGCAAGCCTAGCAATGCCTGGCACACAGGACATGTGCTGAGTGACTGGAAAGGTGTGTCCCTTTCTGCCTCTGTGATATGATTTTGATGTCCCTTGAGGTTACCTGGGGTCCTCTCTCCACTACACAGAAGCACTGACACCTTGGGTGAGTTGCATCTGCTCCATGAGCCTCTGTTGCTTTGCCTATGGGACAGCCTCACGATTCCAGGACTCTTCAGGCTTTGTCTGATGCCCATGCACAGAGGGCCAGTGAGTGCCTGGGATATCTCTGCCCTCCATTCCTGTTGCGGATGCTGAAAATGTTTCTCTAAGTCATTTCTAGCCACTCAGATACAGGCCTTTTTGTTGTTGTTGTTGTTGTTGTTGTTGTTGTTGTTTCAAGAGAAAGGGTTTATTCAAACATGTTGACATGCCTGTAATAAAGCTACAAAGGGGCAGGAACATTTGTTGGCTCTAGACAATGTCATACAAAACGTTAAATTTAAATTCTCATTGCAAACTTGGGATGAACTTGTAGCTGGAAGGGAGAGAGGCAGCTTCTCCCCCAGTTTGAAGTTTTATTTCATTTTTATTTCCACATATGATTGTACATATTTATGGGATATGGTGTCATGCAAGCCCTAGGGAATGATCATATCAGATATTTAGAATGTCCATCTTCAACATTTATCATTTTTATGGGGAAACACTGGAAACCATCTCTTCTAGCTGTTTTGACAAACACAGAATAGCACTGTTAACTCTAGTCCTGCTGTGTAGCAGGGCCCTCTGTCTGACCTGTGCCCCTGGTGCAGTGGTACCCCTACATCCTGCTCATGTCAAGGGCAGCTTTCTCTGGACCTCACCCTCTCTGCAGTGAGAGTCTTGCTCCTTGCACTGTGGTGGAAGTACAGTTCAAAATGATGTGAGTGTGGCACCGAGCCTGGTCCCCAACAGTCGGTGGTACAACTCAATGTCTGGCTTCCTGGTACTTGCATTGACCGCAGGCAGGGAGTCCTCGTGGCTCTATGCCTCATCTGCAGGCTGTTCTCAGTCTGGGGAAGACAGAACAGGAAGGTGATGGATCATGGGTGCCTCTGTAGGTAGCACTCTAGAGCTGCTGGCACCCTACTGCTGTACTGATGAGAACCAGTAGAGGAAAGAACACAGCCAAGGACAGCAGCAGTCCCTGGCCCAGGCACTGAGGTGAAGCAACAAGGAAGGGAAGGGCATTTCCTGATGGAGGCAGGGGAGAGTTGGGCAAGGCCAGAGGAGTGCCACCCACAGAGACACCTGGATAAGGCTGAGCCTGCTGACAAAGGAGCACTGTGGCACAGATTTAGTCAGTCAACAGAAGTGCACAGCCCCGTCTCTAACCTCTGTGGGTATTCTAAACAAAACACACGCATCTAAAGCTTCAAAGGTCTCGTCTACATATAAGAGAAATGCAGTGTTTGTCCTTCCGTGTCTGGATTACCTCACTCAGGATGGTTGTTTCAAGCTCCATTCGTTTAACCTGCAAACTTCGTAATTGTGTTTTTCTTAGCACCTGAGTAATATTCCCTAGTGTAAATGTACCACATTTTCATTATCCATCCGTTGATGGGTGCTGTGCGGCTTCCAGTGTCTGGCTGTTATGAAGAGAGACGCAGTGAGCATGGATGAGCAAGGGTCCCTGTCGGAGGATGTAGAGTCCTTGGGTTATATCAAAGCATGGTAGAGCTGGCTCTGGTGGTAGATCTAGTCTCGCCTGTTTGAGTGCACAGTGGCTGTACCAGTGTGCACTCCCACCAACAATGGAGGTTTCCCCTTTCCCTGCATCCTGGCCAGCAGGTACTGTCATTTGTGTTATTGATCTTGGCCATTCTGACTGGTGTAAGATGAAATCTCAAAGTAGTTTTAATTCCTATCTCCCTGATAGCCGAGGACGTTGGGCATTTCTTTTAAGCTCTTCTCAGTCATTTGAGTTTCATCTTTTGAGAATCGTTTAGATCTCTACTCCGATTTTAATTGGATTGTTTTCTATATGTTTGGGGGGGGTGTTTGTTTTTTAGTTCTTTACATATCCTAACACTCTGTCAGATGTGTAATCAGTGAAGGTTGCTTTTTTTCCCCATTCTTTGTCCGAATGATGGTGATTTTTGCTGTACAGAAGCTATTTAGCTTTGTGAGGTCCCAATTACTGGGATCCTTACCTGTGCCTGTGAATTCAAATCTATTACCTACCTTCTCTTCTGTAGGACTCATCTTAAGTTGAGATGATCGATCCATTTGGAGTTGAGTTCTATACAAGGTGACAGATACGGTTTTGTTATCATTCTGACCCAGCTTGACCAGAAGCATTTGTTGAAGATGCATTTTGTGTGTGTGTGTGTATTTGTTTGCTTCTTTGTAAAGAAAAGAAAGAATAGATATCCATAGGTGTTCGAAGGGGTTTATTCCATTGCTAAATCTAAATGGTAATCTCATCTTTATAAAAAACACAAAAATACTTTACAGCGACATCTATTTGTACTGGACCAAATACGTGGGTGCCTAGTTAATACGGAAAACTGACCATTACAGCCTTTGACAGACAGTAGAAGGAAGAGCAGCCCAATAGCCTGTAGCCAGTTCTGCCACTGTGAATAGGCATTCAAGGCAAAACCTAAATCCTTCAGACACAGAAGGAACCTGTGACTCAGGAGGCCATTCTTTCCAAGTCACACATCTTGGCGGAGAACTGACCTAGGTTTTAAGCTTGACCTTTAACTCACAGTGGCCTCGTGTCCTACACAGGGCTGAAAGAGGACCCTTCTTCAGGTTGACTCTCTCTCTGGGTAGAACAAAGATCTTGAGGTCTCTCTGTCGTTGCCAACTTCCTGGATCAATATCTGGGTCCTGCTGGCATCAGTAAATTTGTAGCTGCTTCATTTATGCTTTGGTTTGCACACTTAATGCCATAATCTGCACATATGGTGCACACACACTCATCTCTTACTCTGCATTAAATATGATGTATGAAATGAGTTTTCTCTTTAAATCAAAGCCCAGTTATGATTACTGTTCTTGTTTGTAGCACATCACCGCTACTCCCCAAGTGCTGTCCGCATCCCATCAGTACAGTATTTGCATGTGATGTGCTATTGGCCAGAAACTGATCCAAAGAGACAGGATGAGATGGGCTGTGGGAAGATGCTGGCCTTTAGAGGCAGGACCACAAACCAGGGATGGTAGAGCATAGATTCCAGGGATGCCCTGAGGGGGTTATGAATCCTCTAGTGACATGTGGCCTGGGTGTCAAAAGTTGAGCCCAGTCAGAAGATGGTACCCAGCTAGTAGGTAGAGAATCAATATCATGTGCTGGAGGCAAGAGGCCTTAACCAGGAAGAGGGCTATGGGCTCACAGACAGAGGGTATAGCCAACATTGCCTTACCCTGAGATAACCCCAGGGAAAGGAGTTGATCGGGAGAGGCCCTGTCCTGCTCTCTCCTGATCTCTGATACCAAACACACCCTTACATAGGGTCACTTTTCCAGGAGCCACAGAGGGAAACCATACTGTGTAGCCGAGAAGGCCTAGGTTGGGCTCACAGGTTTCTGTCCCTCAAACTGTCCATTTCTGAACTTCCCAGATGGTGACAGACACCCCCTCCCCCGGGGATTCTTGTCAGCCGAGTTTCCAGCCCCTCCTGAGAATTCTGGAACTCCTGTGTGCCATAAAAAGATCATTACCTATGAGTTTCAGGACTAGAAAGTTCAGGAAGCACAGCTCTATGCCAGTATTCTTCAAGTTGTGTGAGTCACCCCACTGTGGACGACGGTGTGACCAGAGGCAGGGCAGAGCAACCACACTAGGACCTCGGGTTGGGGGGAGGGGGGAGGGTGGCAGAACAAGCAGCGTTCAAGGCTACCCTCCACTACAAGTTCAAACCCAGAGAGCTACATGAGGCCCTGTTTCATTAAAACAAACAAACAAACAAACAAAAACAAGCAATTAACAACCACAAAAAAATCTCAAACCAAACGCCAAGTGGGAGACCAAAATATGCAAAGTTAAGCAGAGTTATGTGGGTCCCTTATGGAGGGCTTGCTTTGGAGCAGGATACATATTCCAAACAGGGATCTGAAATTTGGGTGTTTGTTTGGTTCATGGTAGCCAATGAAGGCTGTAATATGGCTCTAGATGTTGCTTAAGATTCACGGCCCTTGGGCTGGAGAGATGGCTCAGTGGTTAAGAGCACTGACTGCACTTCCAGAGGTCCTGAGTTCAAATCCCAGCAACCACATGGTGGCTCACAACCATCTGTAATGAGATCTTATGCCCTCTTCTGGTGTGTCTGAAGACAGCTACAGTGTATTCATATATAATAAATAAATCTTTAAAAAAAAAAAAAAGATTCACGGCCCTGGTGTCCATGTATGGCTGGCTGGGCCCAGGGAGGAGCTTGTGAGCTCACTGTGGGGAATAAGAGTAGGAGAAACCTGTCCCTCAGTGGGAGGCTAAGTACTACTTCCTACCATTAAAGTTGTCACATTGAGGCCCCTTCCAACCTGAAAGGCCTGCCTAGTACTTGGGAATGAGACCGAGTCGGGAGACTCTCAATTTGTCTGCACCACTCGGTGCTAGGCTGGTCCCTGCCATTTTCCATAAAGCAGAAGTGCTAGTTTGTCAGGGTCCACTTTGTCCTCCTCCACTCCCCCTCCCAGAGAGACCTGTCATGACTCTGGTCTAGCTTCTTTCTCTGACTCCACCTGACTGGTGAGCCCAGGTCTGAAGATTTCTATGGTCTCCAAGGAGACAAATCATTGATCTGATGAACTCTCACGTTTGATTCTGGGATCAAGCCAGAAATCCTAGACTAATGTGACTACTGGGTGTCCTGTTCAAATCTCTCCTGGTGGGAATTCCCAGTGGCCAAAAGGCGGGCTAAGTAGCCTCAAATCAGGCTGCTAGAAGGTTGGGTTGGTTGGAACTCAGAAAGACATCCTTCAGTTACCTCATCCAGCACCACCTACGTATGGATGAAGCCAGCCCTGATTCCCCTTCCCGAGGGACTGGGCCACCTTCTCATCTTCCTGGCTATGTTGCTCAAATTTCCAAGATAATTACCCAACCAGGTGTTGACATTGACTTGGAAAGACCTACTTAAGAGGGCTGGATTGCCAGAGATCAATATCACAAGT